CAAGTACTTGTTAAAATGAAATCCTAAGAGTAACTTCCTTGGCTTTACCTGGTGTTTCATTAATAAATCACCAGGCCTAGTCAGCCAATGGACAACTCCCGGGAATGCTGGGCCAGAATGCTACAAAGCTCAGAAATTAAAGCAGGCAGTACAGCAGATAAATAAACAGTTTTGTTATCAAAATAGATCATTTAAAAATGGCTTCTACCCAAGAGCCATTTCCATGCAAAATTATATTGGAGTATATACTCCTGCATCCTAATTTGTAAACTCATGAAATGTTAGAACTGCTCCTTTCCTAAAACAAGCTCCTTTAAATATCCAATTAAATGTTTTTAAAACGATTTCTTATGTTAATAGGCACAGAAGCATTTTTCCTTCAAAGGAGTGCTTTTCATGGAAATATATTATACAGAAAAGAGAAACCATAGGTCTCTGCTTGAAGCTGGTGGTGTGGCCAAGCAGCCTCCCTCTGACCTCTGTCTCTCTTGCCCTGAAGGTATTTCACCAAACTGCTTAAACTCTGAGGACAGCACTTTGAAAATCATGGGCCACAATCCAATCTTTTTATTTTATAAATAAATAAATGAATCTCAGAGAGCTGAAGGTAGAGGCAGAGCTTAGACTACAGTCTAATCTCTTAATCTTTAATCCAAAACCTACTCTAACAAAATTAAGTGGTTGTTTATTTACGTTTAGTCACAGGGCTTTTAATCTACCATATAGAATGTTCTGATATAGTTAAAGGTTTTAGTTTTCAAGATGAGTAATAAGTAGACCCATTATTTTCCATCCAGGTGTTTTATTTCACCTGTGGTGACAGTTACAAAGTTCGTGCAGCCACCTCTTAAAGGTAGGAAAAGTCCAGTCACCCAACTTCTCAGTTAAATCCTCAGTTAAGTAAAAACTTAAACATAGATTATGCTTAAAACCCTCACTGTTGGATATTTTTTTAGGTAAGTAACTAATAAAAAATAGGAACTGATTTTCAAATAATTGGAAAATCTACTACTGTTTCCCTTTCCCTGGCCCTTACCTACACATATTCTCACCCATTCAATAAGCAGTCCACAGAATAGAATGTTTTGCTTAACAAAGTTTTCCGATCCTAGAACTGAAAAAGGGGGGGGACTCTCAATCTTAACTCTCTATTAATGACTTTTAGAGTAAAACTTATAATACCCAATCTTCATCTGGGCCAGACATACTTGCCCCTCCATCCAGAAATTTTTATTCAGTAGGTTTAAGGGTATATTAGTGTGCAAAACTGTAGCAATACACAGGAACACATACATTGAAAAACACCATTCCACCGTGACAGTGGAAAGGAAGTGGCTTCTCTTCAGCCCTAAGGAGCCAATTCTGCCGCCTTGAAAATGCTGAGCTCCAGCTCCTGAGCCATGTTTGAGAGTCCATATGGATCTACAACCCATCCTTAGAGGTTCCTGCCCACGTATTAACTGCTTATATCGACTGTTTTTTGACCCTGACGATGCTTATGTTCCTAGTGGCAGATAATCTTTCAAAATGTGGAGACTATCCCTGAGACTCCCACAACATTCTCAGAACCAAAGCCACCATTCCTGAGGCTTTACTCTAAAACATATCTTAAAACCCTGACCCTCTGTAAAGTCTGTTTTAGAAGTTTCACAATTTTTTCTGAGTCCAGAGCCAGATGGGAAGCCTTGGAACTCAGATACAGATCCAAATCTGTGATGAAAGTAGCTGCTCCAGTTACATTGTGCCTAGTGGCTTGGATGCCATAGACAGCCAGGAGTGATGCCTGGAGGCTGCTTCTGGGAATCCCACAATCCTTAGACACACTCTCTCAGCTTAAATGTTTCTGAAAGAAACAAAGGGTGGGAGGGAAGCGCCTGACTCCCATGTTTTAGTAACACTGGGGTAGAGAACACTTTACCTGCATGTACTAGCAATACTAGGAAGTACTGACCACTGTCTCTAATAATGTGATTGGAATCCATAGGGGAGAACCTCAAAAGAGCATTTAGAAACCTACAAAGGGAGACAGGTTGGGCACTGCAATACAAACAACTTTATCATGGAGGCTGAAACCAAGAGAATCAGACTGAGCATGGCCTTTGGTACCAGCTGTGCATAATATCGCAAAGCCACAAAGCAGGAGCCATTTCTGGCTATGAAGAATCATCGTAAGACAATGAGCTTTGCTGACAGGTGAGAAGCCACTATTGTTTCTTCTCGGGGTCTAAAACTGTGCTTCCATTCTGCGAGATGGCTTTCACTCCAACTTTCTGAATCACTGTCTCTAACATGCCTAACTTGTTCCCCAGCTGCATGGGTAGGAGGCAGCAAGCCTGAATGCTTATAAGGTCCAGCCAAGGAGTGCGAACAAGAGATGTGAACCGGGAACTGTGAGCATCAAGGAGTGAATGCCCTGTGACTAGGGGACAGCAACTGCTTGGCCCAGCTGTTATTTTCATGTAGGAATGTAGACCAAACTTTCTACTTGTCCAGGAGAAGCTGAACATCTGGATTTTTAAAAAGCGAAATCTCCCACTTTTTAAAATCTGAAAGCAACAAAAAATATTATTATAAAAATACACCCCAAATGGTTAAAACAGTCAATTTAATGTTATGTATATTTAGTCTCAGTAAGAAAAAAACAATAATAATAAAAAAAAAACAAAAAGCACATGGGCCAAATAAAAAACCATCTATAGTCTAGATTCAGCTGGAGACCCCCTCCCCATTTTCAACCTCTGCGCTCGTAACAAGGCCTGGTATTGCCCTTCCTTCCATCATAATCCTTATCTCTCCCCATGTCTGACAATGACTTAATCCCTGGACTCCAGCCTAAGGCCACAGGAACTGTACTTTGTCACAAGATTATCCTGTGGGTACGTTTTGGAAGATCTGAAAGTGGCTGACGGTGGATTCTGACAAATTGTCAAGATATCCTATTTTCTGTGTTGGAGCATCAAAATTAGTTGTTCATCTGGAATGCAGTACCAATGTGCCACCATCCCTCAAGGCTCTTGCAGTTGCTCTGGGTAAGTCTGCTCCCACCTAGCCCTGCCAAGTCCTATCCCTCTACCTCTCTCCTGTCACACTGCAGGGAATCAGGCAACACTGAGTCTGTCTTGGGATGAAATAATAATTACAATGTGTGTTTCCCTGCTTTGTGTTATGTTCTGGCACCCTGCTAAGTGTTTCATATGAAATACCTCATCTTATGATTCCAGTATGCTGTAAATTAGTATAATTTCATAAGAAACCTGAAGTCAGAGGTCAACACAATTCATTCAAACTTGCACAGCTGTTACACGGAAGATCTGAGATTCAAACGCAAGCCTGAAGCCCATCCCTTCTCTACTGCTCCATACGGGAAATGCAGGCAAGGAAGAGTGGGGCGTATTTCTATACCTCCATGCAGGTGGAAAGGGAGGGTATATTTCTTGGCATTTTTACTCAATTTCAAATCGTGCTTTGGAAGTTCACAATATTATGGCTTTCTAATCTTACAACTTTCTATATACAATTACCTGTGGTTCCCAGGTTTGGGGATTTCCTGGTCAGTAATATTTCAAAATGTATTTTGGGAGCCAACATAAGGTTCCCAAACTTCTATTTTGCCAAGTAAGGAAGTTTTTAAACCTATCATTTGGCATCATTATCACTTCACTGAATGAAAACTATTTTAACAGACACATGTACATGCACACACGTGCACGTGCACATGCACATACATTAGCAGCGTCATGGAAACAGGAATGTTGCTTGTCTTTGCCTTCATTTATGGCTGGTGGACAAGCACATGCACAGGGAGTTCCCAGCCTACAGTTGTGCCGTGTTCCAAAAGTTTGCTGGGAAGACCACTGTTTGCAACCTAGAAAACTTTATTCCACAAAACAAAACAATACCGTCATAAATGATGCCTAGTTCCCACCTCACAGTGCAGACCTGGGAGGTAACTGAGGCTCCGGAAGTTTAAGCCACTTCCTTAAGCAACACACAAGCTTTTGCACGGCCAAGATTAGTAGTGAATTGTCCTGATAGCTACTTCAGTTCTTTTTTCACCAGAGACAAAAACACTTTAATTTTAAGATTATTGTATATACACTATAATATTTAACATCATTAGTTAAATAGGCTCATGGAGAGATAGCTTTGGACATTTACCACTGTTTAAAAAATAGTTCTGCGGGAAAAAAAAATGCAATCTGTAGCACAATTGTGAGATGCAAACATGGCTGTTATCACAGACACGGTCCCTTTTATTCACGCCCTACCTCCCCAACCACCACGGCAAGGAGATACAGTGTGATCCTCCGAGGTGAATCTGTTCCTGTTCCCCAAAAAGGGACTTTTCATATCGGGAGTTTATAAATCTTACATCTCCTCTGAGTATGTTAACCCTCAATGTAAGAGTGAAATTGGGTCGCTGACATGTTACCAGGAAACAGCTATTAGCATAGCCCTTAATTGCAATCCTATTTACTGTTCTGTTGGCTTAGCATCCTCCCTGCGCTGTAATAAGAACTGTCACATGAATATATCATTTGAGGCTGGAATCCTGCAGAGAAACAAGAGTGTGCAATCCAACAAACTTGTAAAATTCAAATATATTATCTCTTTCAGAGAGATGTAATGAATGTATTAAACTAAGGAAATTATCAGTTCAAGGAACAAATGATTAAAGGTGATCAGAGGTTATAAGACTCCAAATAATGAATTTGCTCATGGTTGTTTTATTTTGTAATCATTAGCTCAGCCTCTCTAGTGATATGATCTATACATGTGTGTGTGTATATATGTACACGTATATATGTTAACATGAATGATATGTAACATATATGATGTTATATATGTATATATGGCCATGACCATTATATATAATGAGTATTACACATATGTTACATTATACATACATAGTATTTCCTCTAATATATAGGTAATATTCAGAGAATTTAGGAGATCAATATCAGGGAAAGTGTTTCTAATCATAAAAAGTGGCATCATACCTGAGAACTTCAATTTTCTTCTCCATTTTCCAAGGCTTACATTTGACAGTAGCAATCACTTGTCTTTTCTCATCTAACTCTGTCTTCAATCTTTCCAATTCCTCTTCATCAATTTCTTCTTCTTCTTCCCTTTAAGAAAAAACCCTTTAATAAAGTTAAGTTTTGCTTGACTTCCAAACTTAAAGAATGCTATCAGATACACAGCCAATCAATGTGTATCAACTTGGCTGGTATTACAGTAAATGCTGAGATCTATAAGTATTAGGGCTTATATCTGAACACTGATGCCAGATTTCTGGAATTATAACTTTAAACAATAATGTTTATATTCTGAAGTCCTGAAACTGTTTTACGTCCTCAAACTCTCAGAACTAGAAAACCTGGGGAAAGTAATAGTTATATATTTATCAATATAATTTCCTCTGTTTCCTTGTACACCTTCCCCTACCAATTCTGCATTTCATTTAAAAACTTTATTTTTCAACAAGGATAGTAAATTAGAGGTGAATATGTCTTTGAAGTGCCCTTAAAAAAATTTGTTAGCCCTGTCTCAAGAGAAAGAGAAAAACTGAAATAGGAAAAAAAAATACTTCTCAAAGGTAACTTAATCTGTTAATTAAACTCAAAACTTCAATTGATAAAATTCAACTTGAAGTGTATTTGGTTGAAGTGAATCCTTTGAAGAGGCCTTCAAAGGAATTTAGTTTCTTGCTGAGCAAATGAGATGTCTCTTTACTCTTCTGTGTTCCTAGTATTGCAAAAATACCAAAGAGTCCAAAACTCAAAGAAAACAAAATCTAAATATGAGCAAAATGATTTTAAATCAAGGAATATAATGCCCTATTTGTAGAGATCAAATTTTTTTGGTAACAGACTGTTTCAGTTACGAGTTATTGTCGCTTAATTTCAAATTTACCCTGCTATATTTAATGTTGTGATGTTGTGGCTGTGACCCTGTAGGGCACATTTCTGCTTTGTCAGTGGGCTCGATATTCGGCTGCGACAGAAGACACTGAAAAAGGATTTGGTATGTCCTTTGGTGTCTTGTTTGCTTCCTGTGGTGATGCTTACTCCTTAGCAATGCTTCTTCAGGAGACATCGGGGCTTCCCATAGCTGCAGGTGAAACTAGTTTGCCAGTTTTTCCAACAGATACCAGCTAGCAGAACCAGCTTCATTACTCCCCCTGCAGACACCAGCACCACTTGAGTATCACCCCCTCTGCACTGGTTTCAGCTCCATGGGTCTCTCCTCTACACTTCTAAGTTTTAATTTCAACCTCTTTCCATTGTTGCTCTAGCCCTTGGTGTGGTATTTGCTTCCTATAGTTGCTGTCACCAAGATACTTAGGTTCTCTTTTCAGCTTTCCAGTAAGCTGGTTAATAATTATTTATACCTACTAAACAGTCCTCTTATTAATTATTCTCTCTTCAATTAATTGTTGACGTTTCTTTCTCCTAACTGCCCTGACAAAGAAATTGTAATCTGACTCAGGGTTAAAATATGTTTCTGACTAATTAAACTAAACTCATGACCACACACAGTAGGATGATGGGGCAAAGTTGTTTCTGAAAGTTTCAGCCAAATAATAGGAGGACATACCTATAGTTTTATAGCCCACCTTCAAAGTGATTTTGCAATCTCCTTTCTTTCCCACCAGTCCAGAGTTTTTAATCATGCCATGATTACTGAAACAAAAATTTATATTAACCCTATAAAATAACACTTGCCATCGACAGTTTGGTGTTTTAACCAATTCAGATATTTTGCTTTGAATAGTACTCCTAGTTCGAGAGAACTGTGGAAGTATACTCCACTAATATACAACTCTGATTGAAAATAAGTTGACTTATTTTAATTATTTGATGTTTATCATATAAAATCTTATGGTGCTGTACAACCATAGCAAAATACTTATAAAGAATGCAAGAATGATCTACTCAATGTTTGGATTTATAGTGTAACTAAAGCGTGTTTCTTTTTTATTATTGAAGTAGAGTCAGTTTACAATGTTGTGTCAATTTCTGTTGTACAGCATAATTGTTCAGTCATACATATACATACATACATTCATTTTCATATTCTTTTTTACTATAGGTTACTACAAGATATTAAATATAGTTACCTGTGCCATACAGTATAAACTTGTTTATCTGTTTTATTATATATAGTAGTATCTGCAAATCTTGAACTCCCAATTTATCCCTTCCCACCCTGGTAACCATAAGTTTATTTTTTATGTCTGTGAGTCTGTTTCTGTTTTGTAAATAAGTTCACTTGTCTTTTATTTTTAGATTCTACATATAAGTGATATATGTTATTTTTCTTTCTCTTTCTGGCTTACTTCACTTAGAATGACAATCTCTAGGTCCATCCATGTTGCTATGAATGGCATTGTTTTTTCTTTTTATGGCTGAGTAGTATTCCATTGTATAAATATACCACAACTTCTTTATCCAGTCATCTGTTGATGGACATTTAGGTTGTTTCCAAGTCTTGACTATTGTAAACAGTACTGCTATGAACACTGGGGTGCATGTATTTTTTCAAATTAAGGTTCCCTCTGGATATATGCCTAGGGGTGGGATTGCTGGGTCATATGATAAGTCTATTTTCACTCTTTTGAGGAATCTCTATACTGTTTTCCATAATGGCTATGCCAAACTACATTACTAAAGCTTGTTTCTTTACATGCCATTTTTTAGAAACAACTTAACGAAAACATTCCTAACATTAATTATGTACTCTCCTGCTACAGGAGAGTATGTTTGGACTTTGTATGTTTAACACATCCAAATTCTATGATTCCTTCAAAAGTCACATGAAATGTCTTCAATACTCCTTTCTGATTATCCATACAAGAACAGTTTTCTCTTAAGATTCTAAACTACTTTGTACTTCTCTGGCATATTTATATTGTCTTATTTCATAATAATTTGTGTCTAAGTGGTCTCTCTCTTACTAAATAACTTCTAGAGAATGCAGACAATTGCATATTCATATCCATATCTTCCAAAGAAATTAGCAGATTATCTTCCACAGAAGTGGAGCTGGATAAATATTTATTGAATAAATGTTTATGTACAGAAATTTTCTAGATGACAGGGTTATCATCAAGTACACTAAAATATAACAATATCTTCCAAGATTAATATTTTATGGAAAGTTATTCCTACACTAAATGATCTCAGACTGGTATATTTTTAGTCTTTGTTGTTAATTGTTGATTGCACCAGGAAGATCATGCTGTGCTAGAAGGTAGAATTGTTGTTGGCTAAGTTTCCTTCAAATATGCAGGTAATTAGAATATTGCCTTTTTGTGTAATTGAAGTATAATAATGCATAATTAAAATATTGCATTAGGGAAACTGCTTTTCTAGGAACCACTCAAAGAAAGTGTTAATCATATTAGAAGGACATAGCACAGACATGTTTTATCTTCTAAAATTTAGGGCTAATCTGTGCAAGAATGGCTTCCTATCTTAGGTTTGATTTATTTAAACAACAGTTGTCAGGAAAGAGGCATAATGTGCTGAATTTCTCACTGCTATGAGCAGATTACTTATTCACCTAAAACTGGGTCAAGAAAAGCCTGTAATATTATTAGAAATACTTCAAAATGCCAAACAAGGTAGCGTTTTTTAACTATCTTCAAAGGCAGTTAACCTTGGATTTAGTTGGTTTCAAATGTTTTGTCAGTGCAAGGGAAATTCCCTAAGGTGTTTTGCTTGAGCATTTAAATAAAGGAAGACCCACTGAATTAATTAACTTAAATAAATGTACCCTGACTTGCCTACTAATCTTTCTCAAAATATATTTGCTAATACATTTTCTTTAAAAAAAATGCTTATCCTCAAAATGAACAATAGAAGGTGAACACTGAAGTAGAGATCAGAGCTGTCAATCACCACAAATAATTTATGATGGCTATTTAAAATAGTTGTACAAATTGTGGCAATAATAATATAATTTGCAAAACCTATGGAAACAAAGTTCCTTTTAGCCAAGTTGGCTCTCTGGAGGAGTGGGGAGGGAGGGAGTCAGGAGTGCTGTGGCTTCTCAGAATCAGGCTGAGAGTAGCACCAGCTAAGGACAGACACTGTCTCAGGGACAAGACTGCCCCAGGTAACAGGGACCAAGACCCAGTTGATTCATACGGTCATATTTCTAGGGGTTGAGCCTTTGACATGAGGACCTTGAGCAGAACAAGAAAGCAGAAGAATTCTCACCCAACTCAAAGGACCGCTCTAAGGCACGAGTGGAGAGGAAAAGCAAATTCTGGAACACAACCTATACCATGCATACAACTATTGGTTATGTTTTCGCAGTGAAGCACCACTGTCAGAAAGCATAAGCTTTGCTAGTAGGACATATTAGTACATAATAATAACAATCACAATAAGACATGAGACTTAAAAGAGTGTTTACTTCATTTTTAAAAGGAACAAAGGATAAAAATACTTGAAAAGAAGATGGTCATAAAAAAATACCAGAGTCAAAATGTAAAGCAAGTGATGTCTTAGTATTTAAAGATAGAAGAAAGAGGAAGAGCTTGGGGAGGAGAAGGAGAAAAAGCAGGAGGAGGAGGAAGATGAGGAATAGGAAGATTTAAAAACTTAAATCAACAAAAATATACTGAATAAATGGGTGGGGTTACTCTTTTATTTTAAAAGGAACCATCATCTGATAGTGCTAAGCTTATGTACCTGACAAGATGTTCACTTCGCTGTATTTCATTACAACCATTTATGAGGAGGAAGATTACAGCTAGCTATTGAATACAGCAGTGTGTCATCTTGGAGGACATCTTAGAAAGTTCCTCATCATTTAAAGTCCTGGGACTGTTCCAGAGGAGATCCTGTGGCCCTACCACCTGAGAGTGTCAGAGGAGCTAATCTCTTAAAACCTTTCCTAGGGGTCTAGGTTTTCTGTCAGTAAATGTGTTTGACATGCACTTTTCCTACCTGCCTGCCATCTGCAAATTTCTGGAAAGCAAAGACCGGAAAATTATTTTCTTGGAGTTTTCCTAAACAGCATTTAATATATTATTCTACACAAAAACAGCACTCAGTAAAATGTTGGTCTGGTAGAACAGAAAGATGAAGGGTTGTATTAAACACGAAATGACAACCCTAACCCTCTGTAAAAAGGCCAATAAACTTTTTTTCTGTAAAGGAACAGACAGTTAATATTTTTGACTTCAGGAGCTACACACAGCTCTGTCCCATATTCCTTTTTTTTTAAATTATTATTACTGTTTATTACAACTGTAAGAATCATTCTTAGCTCTTGGGTTGGAATTAACCGCAGCTGACCATCCCCTGCTCTGTAAGATAAGTGATTTGGGCTCATCATTTAGGAGGCTTTCACTTCACCTCAGTAATGATGCGCTTAACTAACAGTGTAACTTTAAAATATTTAAATTAACTGTCATATGCTAATGACCTGTGACAATTTAGATCTCTTATAAGAGAACTTCTCAAAGTCTATTCTTAATATATATTCATTTCTTAAATTTTATTTTAATATTAAAATACATTTAACTAAGTGGGGTAAAATGCCAGCATCAGATTAAGCCTGCTTTTCTGATAGTAGTTTCAATTACCAATTTTAAGGCAAGGGAGTGGTCTTCTTTCAGCATCAGGCAGTTTTGACTGAGAAACAATTTCGGTTATAGATCAGAACTAACTTACGCTCCTCTCTTCAGCCTCCTCCTTCTCTCTTTTTCTCTGGCCTTCCTTGTTTCTTCATCCTCTGGCTCAGGTTCTGGGTCATCCTCCTTGATAACATCTCTGGTCCGCTTTCTCTTTGGTCTCATGCTCTCTCTTCGAGGTAGTTTGTTTTCCTCCTCTTCCTCTTCGCCTAAACACAGCAGTTAGCACTTCAGTGAACAATATCAGAAAAGTGCTCTCCCGCTACCAAATGTATTCTTACTTTTTAATTATCATTGTCACACATCTGAGACCACAATCCAGCAATCACCACATCAAGATAAGATGCACCTTGCCATGTGTATTTCATAGCCTGCCATTTCAATACATTTATCTAGATTCTCATTTCTTGTGGTTCACCTACTCAAAAATGTATGTGAATGTGGATCCCCAAATTCTAGTAATGCTTAGAACTCCAGTCTTCATTTACTTGTGTAACTAGATGACTTGGAGTTTAATATCATACCGTGACCTCTAAGACCAAGTTTGCAGATTACCAATCCAACACATAAGGGTTGAATGTTTAACCACTATGTGTTTATATATTTCTTTCCTAGAACAAAGGGCAGGAATGACAAGGAAATGCTAAAAATCAGCAGTAATTTTGAAAAAACTAATTTGAGTCTAGATATTCCTCTTAATTCAAATTATTCTCATTCTTGACTTCAAATATTTCTTCTTTTTCCTAAATATTTCTTTCTCTTTCTTAAATGAAACTGATAGCACATGCCTTTGCTTGATCATTCTATCCTTATGATTAGAAATAGAAACTTGTAAGTATAAATTTAATGTAAAACTGAGAGAAATGATATTATTTTATTTTATTCATCAACTAACAATTAATGCCTCTTGTGTCCATAACTTCTTGGGAAGCTTCCAGGTAAAAAGTAGGAGAACTCAGTTACTTCCTTCACTGTTTATGATGTACTATCCTACTTCAATCTGACTTTTGTTGCTTTTTAATTTCTTCTGATATTTAGAGTCAATTATTACAAAAAAACAAAAATTACTCATAGTTATCACTACCTCTTAAATAGAAGCTACCATAGGGAGAAGTTTGTACTTTAATGTAAAACTATGAATTGTCTGCAGCATACCCTTCTGTGTTATCTGATTCTGATTCTGTGGAAGCAATTTCGTAACTCTGTAAGTTATAGATAATTGGATAGCAATGCAAAATAATTCTTGCCTGTAGACATACAAATGAACTCGGTTCAGTGGTGAGACAATCCTCCACCAAAAAAAGAAGAAAAAAGAAAAGAAAGAAATCCCACTAAACAGTCATGCCTATCATTTCAATATTCTGATCTATAAATATATCTGTTCTTTGGATTTTCCTTTGAACTGGCAACTGGTTGTAACACCTCACCAGATTCCTCATTAATTAGTTAAATATGTTTAGTTTTACATCTTTGTGTGTTATTATTTTATCCTTTTTTGAAAATTATCTTTTTTTTTAATTAAAGTACAGTCAGTTACAATGTGTCAATCTCTGGTGTACAGCACAATGTCCCAGTCATGCAAATACATACATATATTTGTTTGAAAATTATCTTTTAATATTACTTATTGAAACTTTTTATTGATATTTCATATCTAAGTCCTAAATATTACCAATGTTAATAAAATTTGGCTAGCAGAGAGAAACAGGAGAATAACTTTCCTAACTAGGTTTTGAAAACTATACCCTGTCATCAAAACCAAGACTGAGTTTCCATTTGTTGAATACTGTGGCAAATGTTGTGTGCCATTTGAACCCCATTCTAGCATTCTGAAAATTTACCCAGGCTTAACAGTCATTTTAGTCACTAATTATAGAGGACAAGAGCTTGATAGGGATTGAGAAACATTTTCACTCACAAATAACTCGAGAACTCAAGCAGCCACTTAGTACTCTGCAATTTACAATATTTTGTATTAAGGCTAAACAATTAAACTTGCAAAGTTTTACTATGAATGAAAAGTGTATCATTTGATTTATCTTTTACCACTTAGGAGGACAAAAAGGTAGTCTTCAGTGTTTTAACTAGTTTCCAAATACTCAAATTCTTAAAAAAGAAGTGTTCTACAGCTGCCTACTAAATGCGGATTTGCACACAATGTTAGCTTTTGGAATGGGCTTGATTCAGCTTTGAAGGGTAGCAGAATAGGCCATCTCAAAAAGGAATTCAGAATATACCACCCCAAAATATACCACCCTGGTGTATTGACTATTCTAAGCTATAGGCACTTTAAAAACAGCAAATGCAGGAAGAGACTCTCTCTGAACTCACCTTTTGGAGTTGCCTCCCAAAGCAACTCACTTGTCATAAACCCCTCCCCAGGAGTTTCATCCCCGAGGAAGGTTGACCGTGATCTCAGGAGAGGAGACTAGAAGTCAACACCACATCCAGACAGACTATAATCCCTATTTTAAATTATAAATTCCATTTATTCTCCTAAAATCACTTGTTTTTCCCAAGAGACCTAGCTTCCCCTCCCTTTCCCCTATTAGATGGCATTTAAGCTAAATTCTAAGCCACCTCACAGAGTTACTCAGTTTTCCTGGGTATCTCCCATGTATACATGAGGTATACCTGTTAATAAACTTGTTTGTTTTTTCTCTTGTTAAACTGTCTTAGAAAGCAGTCAAGTCATAGCATCTAGGATCTATGTGAGACTCTGAGCTGTTTTCATATAATGTACCAAATTCATGAAAACAGTTGGCATCATGAGCATTCACTGGCTGTCATATTGGGCTCAGGTTTTTAATTGATGGTGTTGATGTATTCTGTGATTGAACTCTTCTTGAGATGCTGCTCTTTCTTTCAGTTTTAGTAAATTCAAAACTTTTGCTCATATAATGATCTTTCTCATGTCCCTGTCCTTGAGTGGTCTGCATGCCTGCAAAGGGAATCACAATCCAGGATCTTGAACTGAACCTAACCAAAGTAAAAACAACAGAGCAACTCTGACAAAATACCCATGCATTCAGTACAAAAGAATGTGCTTATTCATTTTAATTGAACCACCTGATCAGTTCAGCCGAAATGGCCAGTCTGTTATATAGTAATAGATTCAGCCTTAGAGAAAAGCTTTTAGGACAAAGACTTTAAGAGGGAAAATAGCAGAGGAACAAATAAGCAAATTTTTCTGGACTACCATCTATTTGATCATTAGTAACATAAATTGGGTTGAATGTGAGTGAGTGCCAATTGAATCTGGAGCAGCCATTCTATTTGCTAGATTGATCTCTTTTGTGAGACCATCAACGGTCGTCCACACATGCTCCTGCGCTTACATGTGGTAGCATATTCCCACAAGATAAGAGGATGAATCCCCTGAATTCACTGTTGTCCACAGGAAATATATCCCAGGTGGGTCCATCTCCACTTACTTGAACTTTCCTCAGTATCATCATCTTTTTCCTCCACTTGGATTTGCACTGTTGAGGAAAGAAAAAATATAGCAATTCTTTAAATGATGGTACAATTGCTACTAACTGTTTTTACTGTTATTATTTTCAACATAAAACTTTTTGTGCAGTTAATAAATGTTTTTCAATAAACTTGTCAAAGCGAGCATTGTTTATTAAAGATGTACAGCTACAGCGTTTTGTGCAATATTGTGCAAAGACTTCTCTGCTTCATCGCCTCCAAGGATTTGCAAAACATATCAATTATAAGCCTGTCTGCTCAATTCAAAATAACTTCAACCAAAATAAATTCTGTATTGCAATAAGTAAACTTGGGGTTTGTTGGGTCATTTCATTCTATGATAAACTGAATTGTTAGTAAAGCTATATTCACATGCACAAACCGTTTGGTTATTCTAACTAAATTTACTATAATAGAGAATATTTCATTTTAACTAGCTACCCAGTGTCAAAGAACCATTCAAAAAATTCTTAAAAGCTGATATTTCCTATTTTAGTTATTTCTATTGGTATTATAAGGATACAGCCTATATTTTCCCATATATGATTTACCTTGACAATGTGAAGCCAGGTGATTTTCTAGTTCTTTTTAAGACAAAAAACATTTCTTCTGTTTATTCCTCCCCTCATCCTCGGCATCTTGTTTTTAGATTTGCTCCATTTTTTAAAAAGGCATATAAAGGTTTTATTAAATTTTAATGGTACAATAATATAGGAAACTATATTAATTGGCAGATTTTTTTCCCTTGTGAACTACTATCCATTTATCAAAGGTTGAATCAGACAGAGACAAAGATATGCAACTTGCCACGAGAAAATTAGAATAGACTATTTCTTTAAAACCACAGTCTAGTAACTTGCTTAAAATATTAATTTACATATTTTTATTTAAGGTGGATGGGTGTAAGCCCAAAAACGCAAAGATAACAAACAATATAGCTGTGAACAGAGGAAACAACCTCCGGCTTTGTTTCTGCTCACACACTGTCAAAGGTTATTAATCAAAGCTTGACAGGCCTATTGAAAAGGCAGCACATGCTGAGTTTAAATTCCATTCACAAAAAGATTATTGTAAAAGCACTTTTTGCCTTTAAACAGCATCTGCATAAAAATGTTTAGAATATGCAAAAATGGTATCATTCAACATCAGCTGTGGAATGTGAAAATAAGTGTTCTTTTGTTCAGAGTGGACATACGCCTTCTGTCACCGGCTGTAACTGGATGTGCACAGGACAAAGGTCTTTATGTCACTACTGAGAATTCGTAATAGTGCAGGCAGACACTTCTCAGAAGATATTTTATGTTCAACAATAGGTCATAGTCTTTATTTGCATCTAATGCCACCACCAAATTTCTTCAGTTAAAGAAGACTTCACTTAGGAAGGCATCTTAATGATATAAGATTAGCTATGGAGCAGGGTCTGATCAGTGTACATATATATGTGTGTGTGTGTACACATACATATATAAACAGCTGAGGACAAGAAGCATAGGCTGACATAGAGCCTCTTCGGCAGCATAAGCAAAATTTCACACAAAGTGCTATACTGATTTATAATAATCAACTCACAAGTCATAAACAAATAAAGTTAAATAACAAAATGGAGAAAAATACTAAATGAGTAAAAATACAAGCAAATCTTTAGGCAGGAGCATATACTAAACAAAAGCAGCAGAATGAAATGTCCCAAGCCAAGGAGATGAGCAACCAATCAATTTCCTCCGATAACCAGGGGAGATTAAAAAGCAGGGCTGGAGTCATGGATCATCTTCTCAGGTACAGGAAGGATAGTTATAAATGGCCATTAAATAAAACCTGAAAAATCCATAAGGGGAGACAGCCCTGTGGTTGCAAGTAAAGAACAAAAAAGAGCTATGGTTTCTGGGTGATGTAATGGAGAGTATTGCAGAAATAGCCCCTTCCCTCCTCTTGAAGTGACTTTCCAACAGCGATACTCATCTGTGCATGATCATCTGCATATTCTCATTAGGTGCCTTCTTTATTCAATGACATTCCTTCATATGGCAGTTGAGTCAGGGGTCGTGAAACACTTGCTTTTATAGTTACTGTGATAATAATTGGTTTATACTTGGTTCAAACCCTCAGCAAAGGCGTCGTCAGCATCAAGAACTAGACAGCAGCACCATGACAGGGAGACTGAGGACTCCATCAAGAGCCTCAGGCCAAGCTTGATTTTAATGGAACGTTATCTGGACTGAAAAGCACCTGTCAATGCTGGTCTGCCTCTGCAACTCAAAGCGATGCTGAAGAACCAAGCTCAGAAGCCCCTCCCAGACAAAAGCCTGTGCAAAAAATAATAATAATAATAATAATAACTCGGAACACTTAAATGGGAGCTACAGACTGTCTTTCCCTTCTCAGATAATTTTTGGCATGGCCTGTTGCCATCCCTTCTCTCAGCAATCCCTAGTAGCTCACTCCCAATCATATGAGCCTTTCATGTTCTGGTTGCTTCTCAAAGCCTATTGATTATGTTCTTTAAAAATAACCTCTCTCCTGGGGAGTGATGGGAGGACAATGAAGGGGGAGAGGGGGTGTAGGGCGGGGTCCTGTCAAAATGTTGAAGGCAGCAAGCAAAACTGCATTTGAAGTATGCTCATTTAAGAGAGGAATATGCAATAGGAGCAGATGAACTCCTAGGCAACCCAGATCCTCATTTCATGCAAATAGACTCAGTAATTAAAAACAGTAAAAGGAAACAACAGCAAAATGTCACATTTCAGAGGCACTGGAATCGTTGAGAAAAGTAGATATTGTTCCAGGCTTTCTTTTTCAACCTACAGCACTGAAAGTATTTTATGGTTCTTCAGGATCAGAGTGGCCAAGCGGCTGGAAAAGTTGAATAGTATTGCCTGTTCCTCTGACCCGCATTTAGCTCTTGAAGGGATGATCATAGCACCAAGTCATAACTTTGGAAACTGAAAATTCATTTACTCAATTAGCACTTATTGTGCACTTATAAGGGTTACAGAGCAAAGTGCTCTGGAGTAGGAGTTTGTAGACTGCAGAAGAAAGTTCAGTTCAAGTTCAGGTATGAGTGCCTTATCCAGTTTACTCGGGTTATAGCAGCAACCTAGTTACATTTATTAGCAACGTACTAGTGTGTTTCTTTTCAGGGTTCCTTTATTTAATGTGAGGAAGTGTCAACATCAGCTCCTTGCATATAAATGGGGTACTTTTCCAGGAAACAAAGCCAATATTTTATAATAACTATAACTGGGGTATAACCTTCAAAAAGTGGGAAAATAACAAATGATGTGAAAAATTGTATACAATAAAGGGAAGTAAGTAAACTTTAATTTTTTTTAAAGCACTGCTATTATCAAAACTGATTACACGCACACTTTCACATTCACTTGTGAAATGGTAGAAACTGTTCATTAATTAAATTCAAGTTGTATTATCTAAGAAAACTTAGTAAGTAAAAAATAAATGGGGTAACTTTCGTTCAGACTAAACTGCCCTGGGATGGATATTAATCTATGCCATAATAAGCACATTTCCAAATCTTAGCTGAAGAACCCATGTCATCAGTGAGGGGTGGGATGTGGGATGCGAGAGGAAGGGAAGAACCAAGGATAGCCCCCAGGTTTGGGGCCTGGGCAACTGGGAGGGTGGAGTTGCAAGAAAAGGACGTGGGAGGCTCCAGGGAGAGTAGCTTAGGCAGGAACAGTTGAACATCAGGAGTTTAACTTGACTAGATGGAGCCCCCAAGCCACACTGAGGCTATTATTTCCCTTGTAGAGAATGGCCCAGCACTCGGCTTCCATTCATTTATGAAAACACTATTATTGGTGGGTGTGAAACAGTGAACAGAAGCCACTGTCTGTGAAATTGAATAAAAATGATAGATTGTGATTCTTCTTACTCTCAAACCGAGGACATTAAATTTGATTCAATTTAACTCAGCAGCTCCCTTTATTTTTGCTATTTTTAGGTCAGGACAAGAAGATACTCATAACATTTGTTTATAATAAACCCAAGTCCTTCAAATGATGGAACTGAGCATGATATTTTGGAAGCCACTGAGTAAAAATAACTTATTATTTAGCTCTTATATCAATCAAATACCTTAATGAACCTGTAAACTATAAAACATTAAAAAAAAATCCTCAGGAGTAGGAAAAACAGAATGAAATCATTACACTTAAATATCAACGAGGTATCTGGGGAGAAGGTATGATCTGACAGACTTAGGCTGATATTCTTCCTACAAGTGCCAGCACCTTTCCTTAATACCATGAAAAACCTTAAAACCATAAGGTCTTTCTTAAGACCACTGAAAAAATCATGGGGCCCATATGTTCAAGGACACCCTAATGGAAACTTGTATAATAAATGCCAAAAGGCTGGCCATATTTTCAAACATTATAATATCTTGGAGATACTTAATAGTTATTTTAAATTGTTGTGGTTTTAAAATTACCAAAAAGGAAGAATTTTGGTTTTTGGTAAGAATCACCTACCCAAAGTAGGAGAGGGGGCAAGCCAAAAAAAATATATATATATACATATATATATACACACACACACACATATACATATATATATATATATATAAAACTGCTATAGTAGCTGTCATTCTCTAATGTTTTTCCTTTAAGATTATATTTATTTTTTGAGGCTCTGTAGCTCTTAAGAAGTAGAGAACAAATAGCTATTGATGCCTGCTTTATTAAAAACACAATATAAAATATTGTAGTTGCCAAATGGAAGAGAATGAAGTCTGTGGAGAAATACATTTTACTATAAGGTTCCAGAGAGAGAATGGCTAACCCTGAGACAGAGAAAAATAGATTTGTTCAAAAAAGAGATCCCCCTTCTATCCTTGTAAAATGAAAATAAATCTTTTTTATATACATAAGGAGGGAAAGGGGATGCACACCAAATTTTTTGGCACTTTTTCTTTCTGTTTTTATGGTACATGAAATTAAGACTAAACAGGCTGAGTGAAGCGGGTAGCTGGTATGTTTCCAAATTCTACCAC